AAATGACTGATAACCCAGCCCTAAATGACTGATAACCCCGTCCTAAATGACTGATAGCTCCGCCCTAAATGACTGATAACCCAGCCCTAAATGACTGATAACCCCGTCCTAAATGACTGATAGCTCCGCCCTAAATGACTGATAACCCAGCCCTAAATGACTGATAGCCCCGCCCTAAATGACTGATTACCCAGCCCTAAATGACTGATAGCCCCGTCCTAAATGACTGATAGCTCCGCCCTAAATGACTGATAACCCAGCCCTAAATGACTGATAACTCCGCCCTAAATGACTGATTACCCAGCCCTAAATGACTGATAGCCCCACCCTAAATGACTGATAGCCCCGTCCTAAATGACTGATAGCTCCGCCCTAAATGACTGATAGCCCCGCCCTAAATGACTGATAACCCAGCCCTAAATGACTGATAACCCAGCCCTAAATGACTGATAGCCCCGCCCTAAATGACTGATAACCCAGCCCTAAATGACTGATAACCCAGCCCTAAATGACTGATAGCCCCGCCCTAAATGACTGATTACCCAGCCCTAAATGACTGATTACCCAGCCCTAAATGACTGATAGCCCCACCCTAAATGACTGATAACCCAGCCCTAAATGACTGATAGTCCCACCCAAAATGACTGATAGCTCCACCCTAAATGACTGATAGCCCTGTCCTAAATGACTGATAGCCCTGTCCTAAATGACTGATAGCTCCGCCCTAAATGACTGATAGCCCTGTCCTAAATGACTGATAGCCCCGCCCTAAATGACTGATAGCTCCGCCCTAAATGACTGATAACCCAGCCCTAAATGACTGATAACCCCGTCCTAAATGACTGATAGCTCCGCCCTAAATGACTGATTACCCAGCCCTAAATGACTGATAGCTCCGCCCTAAATGACTGATAACCCAGCCCTAAATGACTGATAGCCCCGCCCTAAATGACTGATAGCTCCGCCCTAAATGACTGATAACCCAGCCCTAAATGACTGATAACCCCGTCCTAAATGACTGATAGCTCCGCCCTAAATGACTGATAGCTCCACCCTAAATGACTGATAGCCCTGTCCTAAATGACTGATAGCCCTGTCCTAAATGACTGATAGCTCCGCCCTAAATGACTGATAACCCAGCCCTAAATGACTGATAGCCCCGCCCTAAATGACTGATAGCTCCGCCCTAAATGACTGATAACCCAGCCCTAAATGACTGATAACCCCGTCCTAAATGACTGATAGCTCCGCCCTAAATGACTGATTACCCAGCCCTAAATGACTGATAGCTCCGCCCTAAATGACTGATAACCCAGCCCTAAATGACTGATAACCCCGTCCTAAATGACTGATAGCTCCGCCCTAAATGACTGATAACCCAGCCCTAAATGACTGATAACCCCGTCCTAAATGACTGATAGCTCCGCCCTAAATGACTGATAACCCAGCCCTAAATGACTGATAGCCCCGCCCTAAATGACTGATTACCCAGCCCTAAATGACTGATAGCCCCGTCCTAAATGACTGATAGCTCCGCCCTAAATGACTGATAACCCAGCCCTAAATGACTGATAACTCCGCCCTAAATGACTGATTACCCAGCCCTAAATGACTGATAGCCCCACCCTAAATGACTGATAGCCCCGTCCTAAATGACTGATAGCTCCGCCCTAAATGACTGATAGCCCCGCCCTAAATGACTGATAACCCAGCCCTAAATGACTGATAACCCAGCCCTAAATGACTGATAGCCCCGCCCTAAATGACTGATTACCCAGCCCTAAATGACTGATTACCCAGCCCTAAATGACTGATAGCCCCACCCTAAATGACTGATAACCCAGCCCTAAATGACTGATAGTCCCACCCAAAATGACTGATAGCTCCACCCTAAATGACTGATAGCCCTGTCCTAAATGACTGATAGCCCTGTCCTAAATGACTGATAGCTCCGCCCTAAATGACTGATAGCCCTGTCCTAAATGACTGATAGCCCCACCCTAAATGACTGATAGCTCCGCCCTAAATGACTGATAACCCAGCCCTAAATGACTGATAACCCCGTCCTAAATGACTGATAGCTCCGCCCTAAATGACTGATTACCCAGCCCTAAATGACTGATAGCTCCGCCCTAAATGACTGATAACCCAGCCCTAAATGACTGATAGCCCCGCCCTAAATGACTGATAGCTCCGCCCTAAATGACTGATAACCCAGCCCTAAATGACTGATAACCCCGTCCTAAATGACTGATAGCTCCGCCCTAAATGACTGATAGCTCCACCCTAAATGACTGATAGCCCCGCCCTAAATGACTGATAGCCCCGCCCTAAATGACTGATAGCCCCGCCCTAAATGACTGATAACCCCGCCCTAAATGACTGATAGCCCCGCCCTAAATGACTGATAACCCCGCCCTAAATGACTGATGACTGATAACCCCGCCCTAAATGACTGATAACCCCGCCCTAAATGACTGATAGCTCCGCCCTAAATGACTGATTACCCCGCCCTAAATGACTGATAACCCCGTCCTAAATGACTGATAGCTCCGCCCTAAATGACTGATTACCCAGCCCTAAATGACTGATAGCTCCGCCCTAAATGACTGATAACCCAGCCCTAAATGACTGATAACCCCGTCCTAAATGACTGATAGCTTCGCCCTAAATGTGACTGATTACCCAGCCCTAAATGACTGATAGCTCCGCCCTAAATGACTGATAACCCAGCCCTAAATGACTGATAGCCCCGCCCTAAATGACTGATAGCTCCGCCCTAAATGACTGATAGCTCCGCCCTAAATGACTGATAACCCAGCCCTAAATGACTGATAGCCCCGCCCTAAATGACTGATTACCCAGCCCTACATGACTGATAGCCCCGTCCTAAATGACTGATAGCTCCGCCCTAAATGACTGATAACCCAGCCCTAAATGACTGATAACTCCGCCCTAAATGACTGATTACCCAGCCCTAAATGACTGATAGCCCCACCCTAAATGACTGATAGCCCCGTCCTAAATGACTGATAGCTCCGCCCTAAATGACTGATAGCCCCGCCCTAAATGACTGATAACCCAGCCCTAAATGATGGATAGCCCCGCCCTAAATGACTGATAGCCCCACCCTAAATGACTGATAGCCCCGTCCTAAATGACTGATAGCTCCGCCCTAAATGACTGATAGCCCCGCCCTAAATGACTGATAACCCAGCCCTAAATGACTGATAACTCCGCCCTAAATGACTGATTACCCAGCCCTAAATGACTGATAGCCCCACCCTAAATGACTGATAGCCCCGTCCTAAATGACTGATAGCTCCGCCCTAAATGACTGATAGCCCCGCCCTAAATGACTGATAACCCAGCCCTAAATGACTGATAACCCAGCCCTAAATGACTGATAGCCCCGCCCTAAATGACTGATAGCCCCACCCTAAATGACTGATAGCCCCGTCCTAAATGACTGATAGCTCCGCCCTAAATGACTGATAGCCCCGCCCTAAATGACTGATAACCCAGCCCTAAATGACTGATAACCCAGCCCTAAATGACTGATTACCCAGCCCTAAATGACTGATTACCCAGCCCTAAATGACTGATTACCCAGCCCTAAATGACTGATAGCCCCACCCTAAATGA